ATGAAAAGAAAAAAAAACTTAATTGAAAATAAAATATATTTACCCTTTTTATGAAAGTGTATGTGTGAGTGTGTATGTGGTCTGTTTATGTGTGTGGTGAATGTGGTGTGTGGTGTATGTGTATGCGCGCGTGTTTTTCTTTGGATGTGTCGGATGAGATGTAATACCAGCAATACATGTTCTACTGATAGATATGAATATAAAAGTAAAGAATCGAAATCTATACCAAAATATTTATATCTATTACTATAAACGAAATTAGATTACCACAAAAAGTTACACAAATACATATATCGACTAACATAATAAGAAACATTTAAACCATACATAGGTACTCCTACAGTGCGTTATACGTATAGACAAACGTACTGAAGAGCTAGTATTGCATTAGGTATCCCCAGAGCCAGTCGGAGAGTCGCAGCATCCTCGTGGTCCTTTGGGACGCATTACGAAAGTACTAGACGCCACTAGATCGATACATAAAGTTACTACATTACATAGCTGTTAGTTCTGCAACAAATAACATTGTTCTCGCTACTCTGTGAACTGTAAAACTGAAGGTAGTTTAGTTTAGATATTGTGCTGTGATGTGACATTGTTTTATGTACGTAATTAACAGATTAAGCTTTTGATGGAAGTATATCTTTTACCCAGGAGATGGTTATCCTTATTGGGAGGTCTTCTAAATCTAGTGGTCGTAAGTACGTGTGTCTTGTTGTATGTTTGTGTACTGAAAATCATCTCCGTAGTGTCACCACGTCTGAAGTAAACTGAACTCGATGCTGGGGGAAATCTTTTCAAAGTTTACATAGATCTATATTTGGAGCCGAATCTGTTTTTATGGTGCTTCATAGTGAAACTTTTAGTAGTCGCAAACGTTGTGATATACCTATTTTAAATTAGTTCAGCGATATGTTTAGATTAGATATTTGAACTAGTATCTAATGCTGACAAGCGATTGGTTGATTGGAATAGCCGTCTATACTTCTGAATTTCAGTATACAAATAACTAGATAAGTTGTAAGTTATTTTATTCGACAGGTAATATAATACTAATCTGGAACTGCAATATGTAGTTATGTTAATGAATTATTTTGTTATACACAACTAATTAGATCATTTACCTCACTTAACTTAATAAAGCATGTTCTAAAACGATCAACCTAAACTAAACGTACACCTAGATTAGGAAACGAATGCGTCAGTGATGACGGCGGGTCATCGTTTAAGCCTGCAGTCTGGCTGCAGAGGATACATACATTGCGACCGCGACCCGTCACTGATAAAACGTAGATATTAGGGCGCCGCGACGCCCGCGACCGCAGCGCGCCGCGGACCGTCCATCACAGGGTCCGACGCCCTCCCATTGACGCGACGCCATTAATTGTTTACTTAAACTACGTACTAAACTAACTGACGTAATTTGAAAGGAACCCAGGTGCGAATATTGGCGAATGTGTAAAGCTACATAGACAAATAAAACTTGCATGTTACTTTTATTTCAGTTTTTGCGTTTTTTGGGGTTAAATGTGTGAATTTAGAAAGTTGTGAACATTATCGATAAATAAAACATTCAAAACTGCAAAAGTTATTACGATAGAAGATGTTCGTCTTGTAAGTTGTAAAAATGTTTGACTTTGAGAGGTGTTGATGAAAATTATTGGTACCTCAAACACATCACTCATTTTAACTTTCATTTTAAACGACATGATTATTTGGCAAATTTTAAACTTATCATCACTATTAAGCACTTCCTTGGAAAGGTACATTACCCTTACTCTTAATTATTTTTTTTAGAATAGAATAGGCGAAATAATAAGAGTTTTTAAATAAATAAACCACTAAGGACAAACGAATTTGGAAAATCCCTAGATCTTTTTGAAAAGCTCGCTAATTATAATTATATAGATTTGCAATAAATTAAGAAAATATCTACTAAATTTCAGAATGAAAACCATAATATTATGGAAAAAGCACTATTTTTACATTAAATTAAAGCTCCAGTACAACGGATATAAGTAGCTAGATTTTTAATCTGACCCCATATTAAATCATATTACCATATCGCATTCAGCAAATTCATTAACGAAGAAAAACATCCACAGATATAATAAAAGTCCCTTATAATGGCCTAAAGTCAAAAACATTTATAAACAACACTCATAATCGTATCTTGTTTGTGCCAAATATAAACAAAACTTACGTTTCAAAGACCTCGGCTTAGCTTGTTTCCTTCGAGACATGGTCCTTCCACGCTACACTCCGATTAGAAACGTAACAATCACTTCATTTCATCTTCTATCACTTTGAACTTTATTCGCACAATATCGCACGGTTATCAAGTAGCGGTAAAGTTTGTCGGGAAAGTAAGAGTGTGTGGAGTCGGGAGAGGCGCGGGACACGTGCCAGGCGCGGGTCCGCCCGCGAACTGAGCTTAGTGGCGCCCAACAAGTGGCCATAACAATATTGTAACCTTGCGCGCAAACTCGTAAGACATGTGCTACCCTGCTACTTCGACAAATGTTTGACTCTTCTTTAGCATAACTCGACACATGTTATAGTCCTATTGGAGTACCCTCGCTTAAAAGTGTTTGATAGCGTCTTGTATTGTAATGTTTTGAATAGTTATACAAACTTTTTGAAGTTAGGTGATATGAATTTGAGTTTATGTTACCTTCCTAGGTGTCTGCTTCGATTTTAAACTTTGTTCTAATCTTATACCAAGTATGTTTCGGAAAACTCAATAATATTTTGTCTAACCCGGATATTTAACCAAGACATCTTGCTTAAAAGTCGATAAATATTTCAAATCAGATTTGTATTTAAACGTCAATAGCTATGCGCACAGGTTGTTTAAAAACTAAGTCACACTTACATGTTTTAGTTAATACGTTAGCTAAGTCGGTTGAAAACAAAGTACAAAATAGAGATGTGAGTGCTACGTATTTGCTACGGATTTTCTTAAGTACCTTTTACAATATTTTTAATTTCTCTACTGCAACTTTATGAACTAAGTTGTCTTCTCACACAGCGTATGTCAATTCTCCGAAGACTACGAAAATAATTAAATACTACGAAAACGTTTAATCAAGTGCTACGAAATGGAATAAGTGCTACGAAACTACGATCTCTGTATATTCGATACGTCATAATACTTACAAACGAACAACGTCACACAACATTGGGCCAAGGATTTTCAATATTAAGTTATCAGGACTTATTAAAATCATTATATTATCGTGTGATGTATTTCCATGCTCTGAAAATTATGTGAGGAATTGAGTGCTACGAATTGGCTACGAATTTTTTTAGATAACTTTTACAACCTTTTCAGTATCTACAATAACGTTATTAAATACGCAGTCTTTAACACAGCGTATTGCAAATATCTGAATGCTACGAAAATTATTATGTGCTACGAAAATAATAAATATATACTACAAAAAATATTAAACACTAAGAAAAAGATTCAGTGCTACGCAAAATTTAAGTGCTACGAAATCGAAAGTGCTACAACTATAAGTGCTACGAACTTCAAATTCCGATACGTCATCAATTTCAGATGCTATACAAGACGTGGCGACACAGGAAGTGTAAGAGAGAGGAGACAGATGATGATCAATATCTGCCAATACATGTTTTTAACTATGAATAGAAATTAACGCCACGTAGTTGCGTTTTGTTTCAATGCCGTATTATATCGTATTATTGATAACTTAACAAGCCCTAATAAGGGTCGCAGGAAGCCGCTAGATGCAGGTTGCTTCCAACAACCGGCCGATTTGGAAGTCACTGGCGGAGACCTGTCTAGATGTCTTGTGGCTGATAATGATCATTGATAACTTTTTCAGTGCCCGTAAGTATGCATTTTTGTAAATTTTTGAATAGAGAGATAATTGAGAGTCAACTGACTGCCACGCATGTCATAGGTTTGATGCACACAAATCAAGTCTTTTTGTAATTCGACAAATTACTTTGAGTGTTCGTAATTGCACATGTTTCTATGTAATGCATACCTAGGAGAAAATCTTGAAAATAGTAACTTAATTTTAACATAATTTACTTACTTCTATTTATAAAACGTGCCGATAATTTTAAATGGCTATTTTTTATATGATTTTTTTGTGATGATGATGTGATGTAAACAAAATACTCTGAGTCAAGTTTGAATTAAAAAAAGTCTAGTCATAAAATGACAAGGTGTACTACTGGGTTGACCACACGATTATCTTTACCCGATTAAAGGGAAATCAATATTTGAAAATTGTTTGATATTCACTTTTTCTAAATGAAAATATTACTAAATAAAATCGTACAAGTAACAAAAATTATCTTCAAATAAAAAATAACTATTTGAGTTACTGGAATTGCCTACAATAATTATCTAAAAGTTGGAACGAAGTTTCTTATTTTCTTTTTTACTTTATTAACCACATTCCATAATTATATAATTACTTTTTTTAAAGGGGGGAAAATCATCGAATTACTGCTCCCGCCTGGGTGAGGCGAGAGGGAGTGTCAGACTCTTATTGACTAAAAACCACCCCGTTCCTTCTGCACGTCGAGCCGGAGCCCCGGTAACCCGTTAGGTTCTCCGCGATAGTTATATTATTACTAAATTATTGTTTTCTACACAAGTACTGAGTAAACTTTCTTTTGTCTAACCTGTGGACTGCGCTGTAGGTTGAATTATAATTATAATAATAATAAATTTCTTTTATTACTATTATACACACACAGTAGTTTTTGTGATGTCCTAGTCTTTGTGTACTGTCCTTTTAATTTAAAAAATAAAACAAAAACCATTTTACGGAACTGATATTTGACGTTCATATTTGTTTCACAATACTACTGCTTAGCCTAACTTTACTACACGCGTTCTCCATATTTTAACTAAAATACAGAACAAATAATAAATATTGTTATTGATGCAACTTCAGTACAAGGAAATTTAAAGAATTAAGTTGGCAACACTAAATTAATGTCATTGTCAATGTCAAAAGAGTCAAAAACAAGGAGTAGGAAATTAATTGGATTTTAGTACTTTCATAACAAATGATAAAATAAAAAAGAATCCCTTGAAACATTTGATTATTAGCTGCAGTTTATTTAAATCGGATATGGAGCTACCATTTGAGGTGTGTATATGTTGATTTTAATTTATTGGAAATCTTTACAATACTTCCGCATTTCGTTAATTCTTATAAGGTTTTCTTTGTTTGATCTAAAGATCAATTTTTTCACGTGATATCAATCACGTAGAGAATTTGTGCTCAGTAATAGAAAGTCTTAAGATTACTCAATACTTTGAAATCACGCATTTCTTTATTTTTATTGAATTTCCGGAATATTATTGTTTTGCTTATGAATTTGGACAAGATCTTTTTAATATCATATTAAAACTTTTAGGTGTTAGTCTATCTATTCAAGTACTTACCGAAATCTGATCGAAAAGCAGCCAGTGAGACATGTCGCTCCTGGTACTTAGCTGCTAATGATCAGTGCTTTTTGAAGAACAAAGTTGCTGTATTTTACAAAACAATATTCAATGAAGAATCATCTTCACCACTTCAAATATTTGAAGACTCACCTATCACATATTACAACTATTTATTCAATGAAGTGGAAATATCAAATAAACAAAATGAATTCTGGAACAAACTGGGTGAACACATACAATGTTTGACACTGAGGAACTGTGATATTTGTGAGAAGGTATTTGTTCACATACTACAAAAGTGTACAAATCTAGAAACATTAAATGTACAGAACTGCAAGGAACTCTTTATGTCTGGATGTCTATTAGAAGGAAAGAGTGAAGGATTTCTAACTGAAAATCTAGAAAACTTAAAAACTTTGAGTCTGTCAGGAAATCAGTACCTCACAGATGCACTGTTCAATAGATTTACATCAGCTGCACCAGCATTACAAGAGCTGGACTTGTCTGCATGCTCATTGCAGTTCCATGCAGGTTTAGTCAAAAAGTTCTACCCGCCAGGTACTGACATATTTCTAAACCCTTCAGAAAGTGTATTGACATTTTATTTTATACTGCAGCTAATTATAAGTAGAGCCAAAAATATTAAGTGTTTGCATTTCTCTTGTACTCTGATTGATGGAGCTGCACTCAAGGCTCTATCAGAAATAAAAGATTTAGAGCTTACCTCATTGCAAGTACATTCCTGTGATCAGCTGACTAATACTGGTATACTATCTCTGACGAGTTATCAAACATCTCTGAAAGAGCTTGACATAGGCTTGTGCACAAGAGTAACTGACCAGTCACTTGTACATATATGTAAGAATCTAGTCAACCTGGAATCCCTCAATATACAAAGATGTCGAGCTGTGACTGATTTGGGAATAACGGAACTACACAAATTAAAGAAATTAAAATCTTTAAATATATCGCAGTGCGAGCTGCTGACTAAAGATGGTCTCGAAAAAGGGATTTGTGCTGGAGAAAACCAAAGTCTGGAGGAACTGGATATCAACTCATTGAATATAGATCAGACTGGTGTCATCATGATCTCTGAAAGGCTTCCTAACTTGCGTATGTTGAACTTGAGCTACTGCTTCAATGCTGTAACAGATACTTCAGTACAAGTCATATTTAAAAATCAATTGTTTCTTCAAATTTTAAAATTGAGCCATTGTGACAAGGTGTCTGATGCTGGATTAACTGGTATGGGGAAAGTCGAAATAAAAGAAGGTGAAGATGGTCCAATTATGTCGAATATTGATGAATCACACATGTCACCTAAGATTCACTTAGGGTCAAGAGCAGAAGAAGAAATAGTGAGAGATGCTAAACGAAAGAGAGATGTCATGCTTATGTGTGAAAAACTATCAATGGATTCATACACCGGCTACTCACTAGCTCGCCTGAGGAGCCTCAAAGAATTGGATATAAGTGGATGCAATAGAATAACAGATGTGAGCTTGACTTATGCTTTTAATTTCAAAGAACTGATTAAACTAAACTTAAGCAGATGCCAGCAAATTACTTACGAAGGAATAGAACATTTAGTCAAAAACTGTCCCAGTATTGAATATATTAACCTGATAGATTGTTATAATTTGAATGACAAGGCTGTTGAAGACATAACCAAAAACTTGCAGAGATTGAAGCACCTAGAACTAAGGGTAAGTTGATGTCAACATCATTAAGATACTTGTTGGTCATGAGTTCTCCAAGTATAAAATTGCAGGCTCAATATGGCTTTTTGATAGTAAATTCTTAGTAAGCTGCGTTTTTCGATTACATTTCGATTCATTACATCAAAACTAAATACAGAAGTTACGCTGACCTCTCATTAATAGTGAGTATAATACTTACCTATCTATTTTCCAGGGTTGTAATCAGCTAAGTGACAAAACTTTAGAAGCTGTGAGAGCATATTGCAGTAAGCTTCAGTTTCTGGACGTGCAGGGATGTCGCCACATGTCACCCGAACTGGCGTGTTCTATCGGCTCTTTACCTTCTCTGCATACAGTACTGATGTCAAAACCAGGACCATACTTAGAAGATGGAAAAAAGAATAGAGCTCCTGCCCCAGCATTTTTACCTGCTTTAATGAGAAAACTACGCTTACATTAAAATTTAAAAGGCTATAAAATGGAATAATGCTACACTATAATAATATGTAAATATATTATGGTCAGAGTCATATTATTGGAACATTAGAATTCCGTTAAGCAAACTGCCTCTGCTAGTATGAAGTCTTGTGATTGTGCTCGTCATCAATTGGTAGTTATGAAACAATTACCTACCTTATGGCATTAAATATATAGTTACATTTCCAGTCAATTGTGGTAGTTATAGGAAAATAGGAAGTAACTAAAACCGTTACAAAAGCGATAATAATCGACTCTTTCCTGTACGTCGGCATCTAGTTAAAACGCAATTACTTGTAGAATTACTTTTACTATCTGTGACGGTCTCAAGGCCAAGGTAGAGGCCGGCGACAACAACAGCCGACGTTTTATCCATTATGTACAGAAATAAACATGGCTCTGAACAAACCCCTATAAAGTTGTGTATGTGAGTGATATAATATAATTATTTTAAATTGTTTATTTGGTGTAGCTAACAGCGATAAATTATTTTACATTATTTTATTTGTATTTTAAAATTATATTATTTATTAATCAGTGTATGTAGTTGTTCTATAGTATTGGTAAAAAAAATTGAATTTCCTGAACCAGGACTAATGTAATTATGTCAGCTGTGATAACAATTATTATAAATTAAGTACAAATTATAAAAAATACCTATGTTGCAATAAAAGTTTTAATTATGAAATGACTTTTAATCCGTTTTATAGCAGATTAGACTAACCCACCATTTAATTGGTGAATACATAAAATTGCTAGATTATTTTATTTCAATGATATCATCAAATAGCTACAATCTACTTTCGTTTGTGATACAGGGCTTACCTTGCACAGGCACCTAACTGTAAAATGTCTACATCGCTTATTAAGATAATATTATGTATTTTGCTCATTTCATCATCAATAAAGATTATTTTATTTATTACTATTTTGATTTTCTAGGTGATTACTACCGGCAACAAAAATAACGAATATTTATATTAAAAAAGAAAATGACTTCGAAACTATATTGTACCGATTTTGAGGATTATTTCACTAAAAGAAAGCTACATTATTAAAATGTAACATAGACTGTGTAGGTAGGTACTAGTTTAACTCGTCAAGTACCGATTTTGTAGACACAATTATAGAACAATAGGTTGCGGTCACCGGTGACCTTGGTGTTTGACAGTTTAAAATAAAAACAAAAAATATAAATTTCAATATTTTATTACATTGAATTTAAAAATAACTTATATTAAACATAGATAATGTATTCTTACATACTTGATTTACCTTAATCTTACCAAACTTTGTTCATAAACATATTTTAATGTTATAATACAATGGCTGTAGTTAAAAATAATTGCTAAATCTATTGTGGTTGTATATACCAGTTCTATAATAAAATTATTTTTTAAATATATGTAGTTCTGCAGTGTACACCTAAGTAGCATTTACTTATTCATATATGTAAAGCGGTTTAGTTACAGTGGCGGAATCAGAAACAGGATTCCCTTTGAAGTAATAATTTCTTAAAGTCATTAGGATACCCTATATAAGATGTACAATTTTTGTTAAACTCTTCGAAATAGGTTTCATAATGCGTACTTTTATTTAATGTATATTTTATGCTTGCTGCGAGGCAATGCAAACATGTTACTGAGTGTGACAGAAATGAGAAAATGCAAGTTCATTATAATACTTTCCAATTTACTGATGATATTGCGTAGGATAATACTCTAAAATTAGGACTTACATAACATTATAATAGTCATAACGATTATATACTTATATCTTATATACACAAAGTATATAACCTGTCAACAATTACAAATTAACATTTTATACATGAGCGAATCAATCTTAATTCTTTTAGATAAATTTTGGTAAATATTTTTTAAATATCCCTGTGCAAATTTCTACAAAGGCAGTCATACTGCTATTTAAGTTACATACAATATAAACAAAAAATTGGTTCGTTTGCACCAAAATAAATAAACACCTTTTAGTGTGATTAGCTAGCAGTGCGGATGCAGGCACAATAAAGAATTTGACGAAGTTCAAATATTTAATCGAGACACGACGACATTCTTTCAGAATTGATAGTAACTAGCATGGATTCGCTTTTTAGTGCACGTCTAAATACCTGGCTTAAGATCCTGGCATGCTGTACCGGCACCATAAAGTCATAGCCACAATACAACACAACTTTGGTTCAGGTTTTTCTAATAGGAAGTCAGCGAGAACAAATCTCGCAGTCCGCGTACCTACCTCTTATTTAGTACATAAGATATCACAATGTCTCCCTTTACATTGTACGATGTTTTAATAAAAAAGAAAGATATTTAATGCACAGCATGTTAAAAGAAAGACTGACAGGAGGGAATAAACCGCGCGTAATCGCTTCATTTGTTGAAGTTAAGAAAGTATACGACATTCAAGTTAATAGTCAAATTTAAATGAGTTAATCGCTGAGTTGGAATGAAGCCGGTACGGTATGCCTTGACCTCAATTCTGTAGGACATCCATATCACCATCTGAGATCGCTTTAAGTATTTTTTTGTTATACAAAATATATATCAACGTTATGGAACGCTCTACACATACTATACGAACAATAGCATGTCGCGATGTTGTTTATAATCCAATTTAAATCACTGTAACTATTATCCTTCATAAGGCACCAAGCAATTGTAGCGACAATCACGTGCTATATATTCATATTTTAGTGTGGGATGACTTCCATTAACTTTGTCTTATTAATTACTTGAAAGTGCAAAGAACCTCAGTCACTCGATAAACATACTTACATGTTATCACTATCCTATTCCTTTACAAAGTGGTCATATATAAAAGTTTATCTACTATAAACAAAACAAATTATTTTATTTATTGTTCAATAAGCGAGCTTATATAAGTAATCACAAGTTTCTCATTAGTCAACGTTTATAAAAAATATATTTGTATGTACTGTGATAATTACACTGATATCATTTGTGACAAAACAAAAGACTTCAAAGCTCAATACCTTAATAAACATGCGGCTACATGTAATAATAGCTTTTGCTAGCAACTCCTCATTGCACTGGATGGAAAATATTAAATAGACAAAACAAAAAACTTACACCTACCTAACATTTTTTGGTAAAATTTTGTATTTGAAACATTATTTTTTCCCAAAATTAAAACAATCATTTATGCTGTTAATAATATAAAATTGTTAATGGAAATCATTGGTTAAAATTGTATAGTATAAAAAAGTTACAGCAAATTATAAGTTTATACTTTTGACAACCCAATCAACAAAAATTGGAATAAGCGCTATTTATAAATTACTTGTTTCGTATTCTTCCTCAGTTACATGTTTAGACTACACTAATCAGTTATCGAACTCAGTCCACGCGAAGTATATTATCAAAGTGATGTACCAAACGTTCACTTGCTAGACGAGCGCTTCTTCTTGTGCCGTCGTTTTTTAGGCTTTCCTCATGGTTTCAGAGAAAAGGAAGGCGAACGAACCTGCATCTGTGGCGTGTTTAGCGTCGAGCTGCTGGGAGTGGGCGACACGCACGGATCCTGAGAGTTATCGCACTCCAGATCTGGCATGTTTATATCCTCAAAGTCTGGAATATTCCCTGTATACGAGATTAGCTGATTGCCTTCAACTGAAAGTTGCCCAAAAAAATATTATTAATAATTTGATTATCAATTAAAACCGACTGCAGTTAACTACATACTAATATTAAGGATAATCTATAATACTAGAGAAATCTACTTAACCAATAATATATTATAGTAACTGTATAAATGTAAGAATAAAACAATGTCATATTCAACCATGCAAATACTTGAAAAGCAATCAATATATAGCTATGTGGTACATAAACATAATATATTGTCAATTCAATTATTTGACTTTTGCAATAGGTAGGTATACGTTTGAGAGCAATATCATACCTATAACATAATGCCTTAACTTAAAATAATCACTACGTATGATATACATACAAATACAACCCACGCCCAATATTGGTAAACAAAATGGAACATAAAAGATAAACGCTATAAAATGCAGCTTTATAGTAATTACATTCTAAGAGCTTAGCATTTAAAATTAATTAAAGAATTATAATATGCTTTCTCAGGTGAAATAACAACATAATACTAACGTAACGCTTAGAAACCGATGATGGGGGATTAAAACATAATTGCCTCTGGAAAAAATAAGCACTAAAATGTACTAAACAAAAAACAGGGCATTTGAATCATCGGTTCCAATTTTACAGATATCAGAATGTAAATCAAATTCTACAATTCTTCGTGCAAATTATATTTTTAAATTCTACTTTTGCGTTAGATATAGAGGTACGAGAACTTAATTACTACCATTATCCTCTGTAAACAGGTGCGGGACGCGAGTGTCGTCACTGCTTACATTCGATATCTCACCTTTCTGCTTCTTTGCTTTAATTAACAATAAAATATAATTACAGTTAACACATAACATTTATAACTATTGTGCCTTACTTTAACATGATTCTAGAACTTAGACATACAATAATTTCACAGCAAACACTGTCTTTATAAGATGTCGCGGCAAAAATGATATTCTTAAATATAAAACCACTTGGTGATACAGGTTAATCGTGTTTGTAAGAACCCATTATATATTTACGTAACAATATCTTTCTCAAAGATAAAATCTCCAAAATATTTAAAACAAAATGCTATTCACAAAATATAACTGATATGATATTTACAATACAACTGCTTTAAACAATTGCGCTTCTGACAAATATTATATAAGACTGGTTGACAAGGTAGTTAGAGACAGAGTCAGTTTTGTCGCGACACAATCTACCTAACATCTGTAGCACTGACCGGAACCACCACGACTATATTAACCCTTTACCAAAAACATCCACCACGTCATGTGGCCCAGACGCGGTCAGCGTTGAATTAATCTTGCGAGATGAGGTAGCAACAGGCTACTTTGTAGAGGAGGCCTCGCTGTTACCGATCAGCCAATCAAAATCAATCATCGGATACTGTTTGGTTGTATCTACAATTAATATAAACGTGAAATATAACTCTGAAAACACATGCAGATATGGATTGGCCTTTAGATCGTAGGTAATGATTTTGATGGAAGTCGTGCGTGTGCGTTCGATTTGAGTGATGTTGTAGGTAGGTATATGCTCTTAATACTACTTATATGATAGTCACCAAGATAGCATACACCTTGGACACAAGTGTTCAACTCTGCCCTACTAGTTCCTACAAGCTCTATTAGTATGTATGTGTGTAGTTGAGTTAGCGAAGGAGTTACCTCGTGTTTGGTAGTGCTAGTTATGATGCGTCATGAGTGAAATAGCAACCTTTGTAATACCACTTGTTGACAGTAGAATATTACGAAGTCTTTGGACAAATCTGCTTCCTTTGGACATTGGTATGTATTTGAAAAATTACATACGGATAGATAATAAGTTAAAAATTTTGTAGTAACTCACCATTGTTAGTAGGTTTCGCCCTGTCATCCATCGAGTTATATGGCAGCCCGTAGAATGGATCATCGGAACCAAATAGCTGTAATAGCAATAACAATAACACTTTATTATCTTTTCCATCGCCGAAAACAAAATACCAACGATTACAATGACAATGATAATACGAGATAAAATGATGGATACCTATATATCAAATATGATTTTAAATTTTGAAAATTGTATTCTATGTTCATTTACACATACGGAATTAACTAATGCGACAAGCGTTAGTTAAGCGTACAATATCAAAGACCATCCAATTACTTCTACGACTATAATGAAAGCGACTCATTATAAGTCAATAATATCAAATATCCATAAATCATATTTTATCTAGCATCTAATAGTCCTGCTTTATTATATAATTTTTACATAATTATTTGTTGTGGGCTGACAGGAAGGAATAGCGAGAGACATCGAAGGTAATACTCTTGCATCTGGAGTCTATGGACAATACAAAAATAATTTTATTCATTTTTCCTTAATTAGGTGTTTAGTGAAAAAC